TCTGTCCTCTGTATGTTATTTTGTTCATTTTACATTGCTCGTCCTCCCTGTGCTGCTTCTCACCCAGATTGGAACTTCAGTGTTGTCCTTCATGCTCTTATTTGTCCTCCATTTGAACCTTTGTTGTCTTGCTCTTTTAATCACCTTTCATTGAAGTCCTTGTTTCTATTGTTGTTGCTGTCTGGTGACTTTCATTCCAATGTTTTTGTGATTGACGTTCACCATATATTGTTCCATGCTTCCTATGTTATTCTTTTTCCCATTTCAGGACTTCAGCTGCTCAAGAGAGTAATTCTACTTTCACTCCAAGTATTCTCCCCCCCCCTCAACTTTATAACTGTTCAGATCATGGTCACCTCCTTTGCCCACTCAGGGCCCCCAGATGGTATATAACATGCACTACTCCCTTCTGTGGTTCCTGTGTCCCATTTGTTAATTCACTGGAATCCTACTGTTTCATGTGACCTTTCTCGCATTACTATTACGGGTTTGGATTTGCCTGGCATATTCTTTCCTTTCTCTGGATGATTGACTATGTCCCTGACTGTCCATTTCTATATTCCTTTGGAGGACATCATCAGTTTGGATATGTGGACTACCCCGCATACCGTTATATCTCATTATCTACATCACGTGGCTGTTTCATGCTCTGTGTGTTTCTACTTACCTCTAGTTGCCATTCTGCACACCTATGTTTCTTTGTGACTGATAAGTACTCAGTTTCTTTTCCTTTACAGGGGCCTCTTGCTCATATGTTATGGATACTACACTATGGCGGGTGGTGCCTGACCAGGTATACTTAGTCCCAAGTCTGCACTGTCCATCCTCTAACCACGCTAGATGACTATAACATTGAGGCTCTTCTTACCATAGACCTGAAGTACAATTCCATATGTCGCCAAGTGTTGGTTTAACCACTCTGCTATTTCTATACATATCTATTGCAGTTTGCCCCTCTGGTTGAGATATTCCTCCTTCCTACCATCCTCCAGATGCTGATTCTCAATGGATCAGGTGTTGGTTGGAGATGGTCCAGCCATATAAGTCCGCACATATACTTGGCTGGTACCCTCCTCCTACCATGGACTGGACGATAAATTCCCAATGCCACCAGGTTTTGTACTGAAGATGCAACCCCAAATTGCGGTTTCTCTGCCTACCGTGTGC